GGAGAGGTCTGCCACACCATGTGGTCACCTCCTGGGCAGGGGGAATCGAACTCATGCGGAAGCGGCTTTAGATTCTCAGTGCTGCGCCACCAGGGAGGGCCTATGGAATTTTTTTAATGGTTTAAATTTGGTCAGATACTGACATTTTTCTATGGCTTAACCCAAATGATTATGCTATTTAACAGGTTGGCACGCTGAGTCTTGGAGGGGTTAAATTGCTTACCCAAGGTCACACAATTACTAAGTCTTGGAGTCCTATTTTAAGACATTAAGAACCCTAACTCACTTCTAAACTCCAAAGACCTTCTAAGTGCTTGTTTTCCAGGAAGTCTGAGAAGAACCCTTTCCTTGAGCTGGGTGGGAATCCATTCTTTAGTAAAATGGATTCCCCAGATAATGGGACATGGCTACCCAACCACTGATGGGAGGCTGGACCTTCAAAGTTTCCCTCCAGTCCCCTCCTCGCACCCCTGAAAAGAGCAAACTCCATCCTCTTTCTATTGATTTCCACTTTCCCAAACCTCCCCCAGGCCAGCTTGGTGAAGACCCCCGTACCCCTCTCCCACCGCTGAAGACCCCCGTACCCCCCCCCCCAAGTTCTCTGGATCAGACTCATTCCTTTTATTACCCAGGGCATCAAAAGCTGGGAGCACGTCCACTTTAATAATGTCACTGTCCTTCTTGGCCTGTACCTGGAAGGACAGGGATCGGGGCCCCTCTTCTCCTATGCTGATGTTGTAGGCCAGTTTCTTGCTATACTGGGTAAATTTCAACTTTATAAAGTTAATGATGTGTTGACGGAGAAACCCCTGGCTTTGGAAACTGGAGAAGCAGCTCAGGAACAGGACCAAGTCCACGTCTGATGCACAGTTCAGTGTTGATCCCTTTCCAGAAGAGCCACCTTGGGGAGGACAGCAATATTGAGGTATACCTTCCCTGAGGCCTGAAGCCTAGAGGCTGTGGGAGAAGCCAGAGGCACCCACGTCAGGATGCTTACACAGGTCACACAAGGTGGCCTTGGTCTCCATCAGACATGTGGCCTTTGCTGTGGGCATTACCACCTCTTTTCATGCACTGGAAAAATTAAACACCTGCTGCTTAATTCAGATGATACAAAGGAAATGCAAAGCCCCACCCACCCCACACCCTGCAATCCTCCTCTAGAGGCAGCCACAGTTACCCAGGTTATTGAATTCGGATTCAATAAACAGACGTCTGATGCTTAGATCTGGGCTAGCCAACTTGGTAGCTGATGGCCATACGGACTCTTGACATTTAAATTAATTCAAACAAACTGCTTTCTTCAGTCTCACTAGCCTCATTTTCAGTGTTCAATAACCACCCACGAGAGCAACTGTGATATTGCACAGCACATATAGAGAACATCTTCCTCATTGTAGAAAATTCTTTTGGATAGTTCAGGCTAGGCAACATAATTTTGTGTATAGATCTTGGACACATTCTGTGTGTGAACATGTTTATCCTTTAAACTTTGTAATTTTGAAATAATTAAGGACAGTTATAAGGAGAGGGCAGTGGTGGGCCTGCCTCCCCCGCTGGGCACGGTGGTCTCCATTCGGTAAATTTAGTAGAATTCCAAACCGGAAGTTGATGCCGGGGTGTGTGTGTTTATGGCATTTATATAGCTTCTTGTTATCACCACTGACATCAATATATAGAAATCTTCCAGTTTACTGCCTCATTCTACTTCTCTGAGGTCACACCCCCTGTCCTCACTACGGTCCTTACAACCTGGAAGCCACAGTCTGTTTTCCATCCTCATAAATCTTGTCACTCCCAGAATTATCCAAGTGGAATTAGTCAGTATGTGAACTTTTCCCGCTGACTTCCCTCTCCCCCCCCCCCCATCTCACTGATGCCTTTGAGACCCACCCAGATTTTGGGTGGATGAACAGTTTGTTTACCATAACCCCCCTCTTATAGCTTGTCACTTCAGTTTTGTTTTTACAGACTGCCTGTGATTGTTTACTTTTAGTTGTAATTTGAACGACAGGACATTGGTAAGCATCTCTCTGCATCTGGGTTGCCACCAGAAATTTATCATCCCTTTGAAAATAAACTTATTTATTAATGCACAGGAAGATGCTTCTGATTACGTGTAGGCATATAAAATGTGCTCATAGTCTACTAAAATACGAAGAGTGTTTATTGGTGCATGGTAACTGTGCAATTTCTGGGGGACCTTTCCTCTATAATCCTCAAAAAATCATGAAGTAATTTTGACCTCTGATTTCTAAGTATCCTTGAAAACTTTTAGCCCATGGTGCTGATGGGAATTTCCTTTTTTGGTTTTAGATCTTGGAAGCAAAGATGCATTGTAATATAGCTGTAAAGCAGAAAGCTTAAGATGCACATTCTCTTTTACTTTATTACAATTATATATATGTAAAAGAACATCAACTAACAGCTCTAAACCAGAAACATTCTACGGGGGAGGAGAGGGGAACAGGGTCAAAACTTGTTGGGAAGATCACGCGGGACTGTGGTGATGGCACATGCGTGAAGCGGTGGTGGGAAGTCCATGGGGATGACAACTGAGATGAAAAAATGTACAAAATGATATAAAAATATACATATATATATAAAAAAGACACACTTTCTCTAGGAAGTTCAGTTATTTGGAAGTCAGCTATTTGGAAGTTAAGTTTCTGTTTTGTGGTTCTTGGTTTGTTGAGAGCAATCTGGATCTTTGGTTTTAACTCTTAAAGATTCTTTAAGGAGGCATATCTTTCCCTTTCAGGCTCTCCCTGGGCAGCGGTTAACATTTGCAGGAAATGCCAGATTTACTAACTAATGTTCATGCTAAGAGTTCAAGACACTTTTGATTTCGATATTTTCAGATTTGAATTACAGAGTGAGCACTTTCCCAGGTAAAATCAAGCTATAAAAGGGTGTTGAATTACATGGCAACCTCTAAAAACCCATTTAACTGCGAAAATACTGTTCTTATCATTCTGTTGATTGTACATAATATAACCTTATAATACATGACACAGTGCCAGTTTAGAAGAACAAGAGGGGTGGTCCTCTTTATGTTGGAGTTGGATCCCACATCACACACCTAATCCGAATCACAGTAGTAAAGATCATGGGGGTAAATCTAGCATCCTTCAGATTTTAGGAGTGTTTTACTGCCGAGAAGCCCTCTCCCACATTTTTATCTCATTTACTTCTTATGACCATGCAGGTGGGAGAAGACTGAAAAGCGAAAAAAAACATAAATAAAAACAAAAACAAGCCAGCGAAAGAAGTCCAGACTAAGGCTTAGATTTAGGAAATGACCCCTCCCCAAGTTTGTACAGGCCCCAAGCAGCAGAACTTGGGGGTCTGCCCTCAGGGCTCCTGTGTGCCTACGTCACTCTCTTCACCTCCCGACCGGCTCTTGAGCAGCCCATCCTGGGAGCAGTAACCCCTCGGGAACCCACCGCCTGCCAGGCCTCCCGCGCTCCTGCTTCCATTCTTCCTGGGGCTGAAGACTGCTGCACAAGGGAATGCAGGCTGTCTGAGGGGGCTCGGGCAGGCTCCCCGAAGCCTCCGTCTCTTCAGGCTGCCTCTGCCCTGCCTCTTCAAGTGGGCACAGACACAGGCCTCCTCGCCTTTCTCCAAGGGACTGGGGAGGGCCCTTTGATCCTCCCTCCCTGCGCTGTCTAGTACCGCCTGGAGGGAAACGGAAACTGAATTTGCTGACCAGTAATTCTCTCTTTCTGTGGAGGCTGCCAGGATAGAAGACTGGGAGGTGGGACTGTGAGCCCCTTTGGGTCTCCCCGACACACCCATCTAGAATTTCCCAGCGCCTTGAGGTTGAGTCTCTTCATGCACCATGTCCTGCTGCAGGGTGAGGAATCCCCCTGAGCAAATGCGTCTTCTCTGCCCCTGGGACCAAGAGGGGCTATGTCAGGTGAGGGGATTGGGAGGCTTAGGCTGAACCTGAGGGCCTGTTGCAGGGCAACCCCAGTGTAGGGTCCTGGCGTCTTGGGTCTCTGGTCTGGCATGGGGAAGCGGTCCACCAAACCTACTGTGCAGCTTGTTCAGGACATCCTTTCCCCCCAACAGATCCTGTGGGCTAGGATGAATTAAGCGCTTTATTCTTTTGCTCTTTAATTTTCTTACATCATTGCTTATTTTTGTACAGTATTTGATTTCTCCCCTGAGGTGTAGTCCCCATAAATCTCCCACCACCACGTCACCCGTGAGTTGTCATCTTGTGATGTCATTTTTGGAGTTAGTGGATTTGGAGTGTGGGGTCCTTGGTTCACTCTGGGAAAGGTCTCCCCAAAGCCCCCCTCTCAGCGGCACGGGGTGAGTTTCCCAGGCGAGTTTCTGCACACAACAGAGACATTAGTTATATTTAAGGAGCAGGTTTATTAGGGAAAGGGGACAGAAGAATAAAGGACATGCGCATAGACGCACGTGGGCAGGAAGAGCTGCAGCGGTGGGGTGATGGTGAGAGCATTCACCAGAGAGAGTGGGGAGCAGAATCCACTGCTGAGGGGAGCAGCTGGCGGGACAGGAGAGGTCTGCTGGGCCACGTGGGTCAGCTCCCTGGCCGGGGATCGAACTCGTGCTGCAGTGCCTGGGGCCAGCTTGATGGTACCGTGCCACCAAGGAGGCCCCATTACTGCGCCTTTGCCTCCCTGGTTCCATGGTCCTGGGCACACCACTTTATTTGTTTCTTTTCTCCTTAAAAAGCCTTCCTCCATATTTATTTCTCTAAACAAATTTGCCTCCTTCGACTTGGGAGTCAGCCACATTTCTGCGGCAGGTTGGTCAATACCAGCCATGGGTGGTCTAGTGGTGAGGACTCAGCACCTGGCCAGGAACTGGACCTGAAAACCTGAAATTCCAGTCACCTTCTGTCCCTATAAGGGGCTGTTTACTAGGCTGTGTCCATGGACTTTCCAGTGGAAACCTTACTGGCAAGAGAGAATGTCAAGAGATATTTAAAGTACTCAAAGGAAAAGATCTCCCGCCTAGAATACTTTACAAGACCATCGTTCTAGACAAGAGAAGGGTAAGGAACCTCACCGGCAAGCAAAAATTAAAAGGATATATACTAGTCTGACAGTTACTGCAACTATGGGCAGGTCAGTATCATAGAGGCCAAGGAAACAACAGCCTTAAATGAGGAGCTAGAGTAAAAGCTCTGTGTTCTACAATGTTTCTGCAGCGTGACTAGAATACGGAAACAGCCTAAGTGCCTGCTGATCCAGGATTAAGATGTTTTATATCCACAGAGCACAGCAGGGTGCCTGGAGGGGCTGTGACAGGAAGACACAGACGTGGCTGCTCCAGCGGATTCCGAGACAGCTACGGGCCTGGGGAGTTCGGCTTCTGCCTGCATTTCCTCCATAGCGGATGAAGATGGGAGTGGGGTGAGAGCGGGGATGTGGGCTGGGGAGACAGCTGGAGAGGGGCAGTGCCTACAGCTGGAGGGGGGTCAAGCACACACTCTGGGGGGGAAAGGAGGGGTGTTCTCAGCTGCCCCTCATGCACAGTGCAGCATGCTGTTTCCACCTTTGTCTCTGCTCCTGCAGAGCAGAGGGTGGTGTCTGCTTTCCCCTGTACCCAGGGGTGACACAGACCTCCCGGGACCAGGATCTGGGGCCAGCTCATCAACCAGACAGCCTGCATCCTGGGATGGGACCACCATAGGAGCTCAAACAAGTCTTGCTGTCAAGACTCAGAAGAGGCTGGGGGGGGGGTCTCAGGATGTGTATAGAAAAACCTGGGGTGGGGGCTCCCCTGATCCTCAAACCTGGCCTGCTCTTGCAAATGATCCCCTAGGACAGAGGAGCATTGTCTGATTTGTTTTGTATTTCTAGGAGTGGGTGGCAGGGGCAGGGTAGCTACCGCCATGTCCATTTGCCTGATGGTCAGATCGAGACGATGTGGTTATCCACACGGTGGAGTACTATACAGCCACGAGAAAGGACGAAAGCAGCCATTTTCAACTCAGTGGAGGGAATTTGAGCGTTATGGGCAGGTCAGAGTGATAAAGACAAGCAGTGGATGTTTACCTAGCAGATAATTCATA